TTCATTTAAACTGAGGTACAGTTGTATTTGCTTTGCTTTTTCTGTATGAAATATCAGCTAAAGTAAAAATATGTAATATATGTTTTAAAAGCAAATGGGAAACTAATAGAAGTTTCAATAGTAAACTTTAATAAATGAAGAAACAGTAATAGTTTATTTGAAAATCAGCAAAGAAAATTTAAGAGAGCAATGAAAGGAAACTTTCTACTATTTACAGATAAAACACTTTAAAAGGACAAATAATTAGAGTGGATGAAAACAAGATAGAAGGGTTGGTAATTAAAATATTTTGACAAAGGGATGAGATGATCGAAGTAATGAGTATGAAGACAATTTCAAAGTTATCTCAGATTCAAGGAAAGAAAGTCAAATAATGGGAATGATGGGGAGGCAGCTTAGTCAAAACAAAATATTGCCAGATGTGCTGTAGACATTCATTCATTTAGTTATATTTATTTCATTATATATGCTGAAGACTTTTTCTAAGTTCTCTAGCTTATGAACATTTTATTCTTTTCCCCAAAGGGAATCTCTTAGTTATAACACTTGTTAGCTACTTTGGAGCCAGACTTCACAGGCCAAAAATAATTGGAGCAGGGTGCCTAATCATGGGAGTGGGAACACTGCTCATTGCGATGCCTCAGTTCTTCATGGAACAGTAAGTCTAAAGCAATCATCTTTTTCTTGCTTTAACCAACTTCATTTCTCCCTTTTTATGTTTATAATTAATTATTTAAATTTAAGAAAATAGCCCATGATTTAAACCATGATAATTTATCTTTTTTTCTTACTATACCCTCTTTGGGAAAAATTCCAGAATACTTATAATTTTGCTTGTAATTAAATAATCTGCAAAAAAAACCATCTTATATATTACATGTATTAATGTCAACAAAATTAAAGGGAAATTTTCACTAATGTGCTTTCATTCAAATGCTTTAATTTAGCTGTGGAGGCAAAATATATAAGCAATAATAAATTAATATATCATGTGGTAAATGTCAAATGGGTGTCAAATGTGTAAAGAAGTAATACTGCTGACAATATGCTAGATCATGGTAGACTTCACTGGCAGGTCATTGACTTAGGGACATATTATCCACTCAAATAAGAATTCAGTGTCCAAAAACTACAACCTAGGACTTTCTCGATAGAAATGGAGCATCTGTACTCTTTAACCCTGAAGTCTACTTTTGGTACTTTTGTTAATATTTTCATAAAACTTTAGTAATTTCAAAGGTTTTCACATTTATTAGATTGTTTCACCCTTACAATAACCTGTGGGATAAAAGAACATAGTTTATCTTTTTTTTTATTTTAGAGCTAAGAGCCATGACTCAGAGTGTCTGGTGGCTTTCTCAAGGTTGGATGTCTTGTAATTATAGAACTGGAATCCTAAAACAGGCATTCTGACTTCATGCATATCCGCATTGCTTCCCTTCTCTATGGTAGTCAGAGAAGCGATTACCAAGAGGTTTCAAAACAAGAGAATATTCTTTTTAATTATATATCAAGAAGTGCTTTGATTATTGCCCACTGTAGATCATTGTATCATGACATTTTAGAGCTGGAAATGGAGAAACTTTGAAGTCATCTGTTCCAAACTTTTTCTTGTATTCTCAGGTCACTAATATAAATACAGTCACGTTTTGACCTCTGTGGCCAATCTGCAAAGATAGCACACAGAATCCTCTGTGTGGACCTTCCCTACCTATATAGATGATTTCCCTGGCCCCTTCATTTTTACTTGGAGAAGGATCTGTGGACTCGGGACCACTGTGCACTCTTTATACTCCTATCTGGCCTCCTTTCCACAGGGCAGAAGTTTGCTTGGATCACTGAGGTTCTACCAAGGTGTTATGTGGGATCACTGCCAAAGGGAGGAGGCAAAGGGAAGGCTGAAGAAATGAGCCTCCAATTCACCTAACTCCTGCTTGACCCGTGGTTGTGCCACTGTTATCTGTTCTAGTCATTGAGCCTCTGTGCAACAGTTTTCTCAGGTGGAAAAGAGAGTTTCACTACTAAAAAAGCTAAAAAATTAAAGTAGTTGTAGAAGATAGACAAATCCTTGACCCTTGTCTTAACTTAGTCTGAAGTAGATCAGTAGGTCTCCTATATTACCTTGGGCATATTACTTAATCTCGCTAGGCCTCAGTTTATATGTCTTAAAATGTGTATTATAGTTATTAAAAATAATACCTAACTTATGCAAATATTAAATGAGGTGGCACAAGTAAAATGCTTCCAAGTTTTCTGACATAACTAGTAGCTGTGTCATCTGTGGGAGAAGATTCTGGGCTCTGTGAACAGTGAATGCAAAGTCCCTGCAGCAGGAGTCAGTCTGGCGTGTCAGTGAACTGCATGGAGGCCTGTGTGACTGAAGTGCGATGAGCAAGAGGAAGGTGCAAAAGGAAATGGGAGAAGATGAGAAGGTTGTTTCTCAAATTTTGACGGACATTGGAATCACCCGAGGTTCTTGGTAAAATATAGGTTCTGGTTCAGTAGCTCTGGGGTGGGGTTCGAGATTCAACCCCCCAGATGCGGCTGGTCTGCACACCACACCTTGGGCAGTAAGGTTGCAAACAATTGCAAGAACTTTAGCTTCTCCTCGGAATCAGATGGAAAGCCAGTGGAGAGTTTTGAGCAGAGTGGAATAATCTGACTTATATTTTTGAAGTCATGCTGATTACTGCTTGGAAAAATAACTTGAAAGCAGGGAGACTATATCTGTAGTGATACAGTTCTCTGAAGCTACTGCAGAATTTCTTGCATCAGAATCAAGATTCTGTCAGACAGGGTTTGAATCAGGTTAGAACTGACAAACCTGATTTGAAAGTATTTATACCATTGGTTCCCTGTTCAATCACTTCTTTGTCTCCTTATCCAACGAAGCCTAAATAGGCACAGACCACATCCAAAGCCTACATTTTACAAGAAAATTGAAAATTGAAGAGGTTAATTGATATTTCTAGACTGCCCTTTATAGTAATTAGTGACAAAGGTGGAACTTGCATAAAATTCCATTTAAAAATCTAAATAGTTATGCTTGCAATAGTTGCGTTTTGATAGATTTAATTGAGAAAGCTCAAATAATTAATAATTTTCAAAGTGCTGTATAATCACTATTGACACTCATTTTAAGAGCCTTGAGGTTTTGTTCTTGGTATCTCTTAAATATTAAGTTATTAAAGAAAGAAGATTATATTTACCATGATTTCCAAGCTAAATGTTTTTCTGTGTAGCTAAGAATTAAAAAATAGTTATCCACATTAAATAGTTCTTAACCTCTTTTGGTCAGGGAAACATTGATAAAAGTGACAAAAACTGTGAACCTCTTCCCTTAAATACTCACATACATACAGAAATGTTCTTACTTTTCTGATGAGGTTCATGGACCCACTGAAGTGTAGGTTGTGCAAAACTGATGTAACCTGAATTTCTTAACCTGAATATTTTCATAACTCAGTATATCTTTTGGTTACCATGCTGAACAGGTTTTTACTATTAACATTTCAAATATTGTACATTACTATGATTACTATAGTCTGGCCACATAGTACCTGAATGAAATGAGAATCAAGATGATGTTGTGATGTCGTTTTATCAGGTACCTCTTCTCTGATGGGTGCAAGAGGAGCAGAGAAATTGACTCATGAAGGGTAATTTGAAAGGGAGTGTGGTGCTAGGAAACTGTAGATAAAATTGTCACAGTCCTACCATTGAGCACTGGCTCTTCACTGTAACCTTATAAACAGAGGAAAGGTTGGAATTAGGAGTAACTTAGAGATAGATTAATAAACTGTAAAGAAGGATACCATCTGGATAAATGGTTCGAAAAGCCCATGTGTCCTTATCAGTTCTGTAGAATCAGCATTGCAATTGTTCTATGAAATTTACAACTAAATGCAGTGTACCAGTGGCCATGGTTTGTTAAATTATTATTTTTCCTCTGACTCAGAGATATTCATGATTTTGTCAAGTACTGAATATTTTCTCAGCAAGGGAGTATGTGACTTGTGGTCATTATTTTATATTAAAATGAGCCTCTATAAATAATTATTTTATTTTCTTTCACTACATTGGGTAATTGGTTCAGATATGGCATAATACCTATGAACCAGATCTTCTGGCTATCTCTTCTGAAAACTTTGCTATTAAATGATGGTTTTGTTTGGTGATTCAGATTCAGGGATAGCTGCGAACTCAAACAAATACCCTAATGAATTGTGTGATATACATGTAAAAATTTTAGCATGATGTTGAATCTATAGTAAAGAAAATGTTCTTTTTATACAGGTACAAATATGAAAGGTATTCTTTCTCCAATTCGACTTTTGGCATCTCTCCATGTCTCCTAGAGTCAAATAGTCAATTACCAATCTCAGTTATGGAAAACTCACAATCCAAAATAAATAATGGTAAGATGATTTTGTTTTTACTTTATTGAATAGGCAGACTTTCTTTTAAAAGACTTTCTATGTGCTTTAGTATGGATAAAATACCTGCATGAATTTTGCTGTCAAAATATTTACTACATAAATTGAGATAGTATAGTGCTATAAAACTTCCTAGAATATAAAACAGTATATGATGAGATCCTAAGAAAACACATAGACACAGTCAGATCTTATGGGACAAGAGCATTAATTGCTGGTGACTCGGAAAGCTTCTAGTGATTCCAAATAAGGTAGACCGTGAACTCAGGGTAAAATTAGTTTAGCTCATACAAGTATCAGTCCATTGCTCAGATATGAAAGAAATATATTTTCCCTCAGAGCTCAATTTAATTTCTGTGTTCAACCCCTTTTCATCAGAGTGGCAAAAACTTAATCTCAGTCAATTTGTCCCTAATTTTCACCCTTTTCCCAGGGGCTACTTACATTCTAAGGAGCTTGCATAATAGTAAAGGGGAATTTGTGGGAGGGAGGGTCCTTGGTGGTATTCATGCCCTGTCAGTTTAGCTATGTAATTCTTCTGGCCCAGTGTTTGGTCATACATGTCTCCTTGGGGTCATCTTACATCCATGTCCATGTCCTTTTTAACACAACAGCTCCCTCTGATGCAGAAGTGACAATCTTGGAAACATGGAAATATTTCTTTCCACACAAGATTGGAATCAAGGAATTTTGTTAGAATGATAGGAGTTCTATGTGGCAAATTGCACAGCAATGCTATGTATGAGCCACACTTGGGCACATGGGAGCCATCTGTTTTATGTTACTTTAGACATTGGAAACCCTATGAGTAGCTGAAGGCAGGAATGCTGAGCTATACAGTGCAACCATCTCACGTTTGGGGCTTTGCTACCTCCCTGGGCTCTACCTGGCTACTGTGACTCAGGTTCTTCTCATTCATGGAGTCCACATATCTACCCACAGGTGTCTGCCATGTTTCTGGGGTGCTGCACAGGCAGCACCTCACATCCCTTCTCTCCACAGCCCTTCATCATCAATATGCTCAACATTTCCTCCCCACCACTCCATCTCATTCCCTACTCCAAGCCTGGGAACCAATTTCTATAAAGACAGTGTGGAAGCCTTTCTTTTACATACCTGTTATCCATCCAAATCTTTTATCCATACCACAAAACCCTTTCACTCCTCTAATATACTCATTAATGCTTTCTTTTGAGATGTCTTTTTCCTGGGCAATGAACACTAGAGGTCTGGCTATTTGAAGGAAAGGAAATGCCAAAGGATTAAAAGCACTATAGAAATATGAGGGGGACTAAGTGGAGCAGACATAATTAACTTAAAAAAAATACAATGGGTAATGAATTTAATTAAGGTCCACATAAAGAGACAAGGGACTGAGCTAAAGAGTTTGGACTTTCATCTGTATGCAAGATACAGTCATTGAAGATATTTTGGTTTTGTTTTTGGCAAAGAAGAGACATAATAAAAATGACAATACAACTAATTAGGAAGTACTTAAACCTTTAATGTTAAAAATAGAAACATGGGGTTTAGAGACAGGGAACGGAAATGTTTTTAATGTAAAGAGACAGGTTAATGGGTAAGTACAGAGTGTAACACTCACAACTCAATCCTTTCCTTTAAAGTCGTAGACATATGTGAACATTAGTCATAGGGAATACACAAGGCTCATCCTAAAGACGATAGTGCAATAATATAGAACCTTTCTTTAAAATGCTCCACACACCACCCTCACTTACCCCACAACACCCAAGAGCAGAGCTGTCCAACAGAACTTTCTGTGATGATGAAAATGTTGTATATCTATGTTGTCCAATACAGTCGTCATTAACCACATGTGACTATCAAGTATTGGAAATATAGCTAGTGCGATGGAGGAACTGAATTTTTAATTTTGTGTAATTTTAATTAATTTAAATTTCAATAGCCACATGTGGCTTGTGGCTACTAAATTGGAAAGCACAGATCTAAGACATCTATACTTATCTATAAGGCTTCCCTACCAATAAGCTTCTTAGAAGCACCCAAATGTTGGGGCTAGAATTGACATTAGGATCAATTTTTGGAAAAGGACTTCACATTATATTTTGGGGAGTGGAATAGAAAAAAATCCAGAGAAGATAAGTGAAAAACCCATGGTCACTTGGCTACATTTCTAGAAACGGCAAAATCAAAACAAGAAGAAACATGACTGCACAGTGGCTTTTTCTGTTACGTGATCTTATTCATTCACAAGAAAGTGGTCATCCCAGTTCATCATAACCCACACTTCACCTTGAAAAATTACTTTAAGGGTTACTAATATGTAAAAAAAACCCCAAAAAACTCCTACCTCATAGAGTTATTACAGAATTCAATTTAAAAATGCCTGCAAACCACTTAGCTCTGTCTGGCAGAAAGGGCGTATTCAGAAGTGGTGATTGTTGGGGGTTGTTAATAGTATCACTTTTATTAAAGTTACTAAAGTTTTCAAAGTATATTTAATTTATGATATGGGAGTAATTATCTGATTTGCCATGATCATATTAAGACATGGCTTTTATGAAAGTATTTAAAAATTGTCAGCTTTTAATTTCACTGTAAAAATACTGTCAAAGGTTTCTTTTTGTTGGAATAATTATACTACTAAAGCATATAGGGTTTTTAATGTTTATATGAATTTGTTTCATGAATATTAGACCTAAATGTGGTTATTCACTATCAAACAATTGTAATTATAGGCACTGCTACCCAAAGTTAAAGTATCACCCATATAAAATTTTGACTTCCACATAAAACTTGGTCAGCAATAAAATTAAAAGTGATTTCTGCTGAAAAATACGAGTTCAAAGATTGTGGCAAGGAAAGCCATTGTTCAAAATTTTTTTTTTGTCCCAGACAGGATATTGAATGTTATTGGAGTGTAGGAATTCCAAGAACTTAGCACAAATGTTAAATAAAAGGAAGAGAGAAAATAAGAAGGGAACAGGAACACGAAGCGGTAGAGTTCCTTGGTCAAAGTCTCGGGGGGATTTACACTTCCTAAAATATTGAAGTTACAAAACACTCCCCAGTCTTGCTCAAACTCCTTTCTAATTATGCCTATTGCATATTTCACTTCTGCATTCTAACCCAATTGTAGGACAATTTGTGGAAATGCAGAATAAATATTTAACTTTGATAGTGACCTAATTTCAATCCTCTTGTTTTCCTTTAAGAATGTGAAATTGATGCCAGCTCCTCCATGTGGGTTTATGTTTTCCTGGGGAACCTTCTTCGTGGAATTGGAGAAACTCCCATTCAGCCCCTAGGCATCACTTACCTTGATGATTTTGCCAGTGAAGACAATGCGGCCTTCTATATTGGTAATGCCCACCTTATTTATCTTCTTGGGAATCAGGATACCTGGTGTTCTCAACTCCATTCTAAACTAAACAGGGTGTAGACGGCTTTGTACTTCGTATCCAATTCCTTGATTCTGTTCACACATTTCGGAAGTCCATATTGGAAGCTTCAATTATAAAGAAACTTCAATTAGAAGGACCTATTGCATTAAGGAAAGAACATTAGATTAAAAGAAATATATATAGATATATAAATATCTATATATAAATAGATATATAGATACAGATATACACACACACATACATATGTGTGTATACATGTATACATTTATATATTTATATAAAATGTATATGTATGTGTGTATGTATTTCTATATATGTGTGTGTATGTGTATATATACATATATGTGTGTGTATATATTTCTATATATAGATATATACAGATATATCTATCTATAGATAGATAGATAGATAGATCTCCAGGGATCTACATAGTTACTTTTCTCACAAATGGTCCCACAGAAGTTCTGAACACATACACTTTTTCACTAAGATTGGAAGCAATCAATTTTAATATCAAAACAAGTTTATGCTTAACCAACCATAAAAAATTTTTGAAAGACTGTCAAATAGTATAATTATGATTTTTAGCAGTGGGTGAACCTAACCCTGGGGAATAAAGTTTCTCCTTTTGGGGAAATAAACTTCTTCAGAGTCCTGGTATTATTTTCTTATTAAGAAGTAACTAACGCCTTAGAAGTGTTCATTCTTATTCCAAAGCTGAGGAGGACTTATTTCCTAATTCAATGAGGTTGAAAAATTGACAAATTAAGTACACTTACGTAAAGAGTTGATGAAATACTTTCAGCTACTAATTGGGTCTCATTCACATTTCTTGTTTAAAAAAATTTTAATTTACAAAATCAAAGAAATGGTACCTTATTTTTTATTTATTTTTTTTTAATTTTTAATTTTTTGTGTGTGTGCAGGGTGTGTGCAGACGGTTGCAATTATAGGACCAATCTTTGGCTTCCTGTTAGGTTCATTATGTGCCAAACTGTATGTTGACATTGGCTTTGTAAACGTAGGTAAGAGAACCTATTTTTATTTATTTCTTAATTTTAATTATTTTAATTTTCTAATGGAAAGGTATAGAAAATATCAAATTGCTTTTCTATAAAATGACAGGATGGCAATTTTTTGTAAATTGAAAATAATTCATGAAAAAACATTGATATAATCATCGTGCACATCAATAAATGGCATATGAGAAATAGGTGGTGATTAGGACTGGATGACCCATGGTTTGTTATTCAAATGTATCACTTTTCACTTCTGGTTTGCCAGTTCAAAGGCATCCTAGCATATTTAAGACTAAAAACTGTGACTGCTTGTTGGCTCTTGTTGGTTTCAGGTGTATCAACATTTATTACAGTCACATCAATTAATAATGTATTTGTAGACTTGCCAGAAAGACCAAGGATTGAAAGTCTTCTGGCAACCAAAATTTCCTTCTTTACTGTACAAATCTTTTTTTAGATGGAGGCATATTATAATGAGACTAGCTTTCCTTCTGGGAGTGTGTTTGAGTAGGGAATAAATGGGAGACTGAATCTTTCCATAGCTATTAATTTGTGTCTTTCCTTCTGAGATGTACCCCCTAGACATAGATAGTATTTTTCTGTTTTGTTCATTTGTTTGTTTGTTTGTTTTTTAAGAAGTCCAAGAAAGCAGTTAGCAACAAGAAAATGCTTCATTTTTTAAAATTCTGGAATTGCATTTACAAATCATTGTGTTAAAATAGAATGCAAAACTCTTACAGTAGTTGTTCTTCAATCAAATAAACTGCAGGGCATAGTCCAAAAAATTTATTCATTTATTAATTCATTAACCTCCAAATTTTATTTTATATCTGCTCTATCCCAGGTTCTGTTTTACCACAGTGGAAAAAAATAGCTAAGTTTCTTTACTCCTTGATTTGTAAAGTCTAGTCGTCACATCATAGTTGTGATGAGTAGTACAGAAGGAAATGACTAAACGGAAACAATGGAGATGCAGTGATAAACTAGTATAAACATTTTACTGAGTATAATGCAGTAGGAGTTGAGCCTAGTGGTCAAAAGATATGTGCTTATTTTGTTGCTCTCTATAAAGTGTGGTGGAAGTAGAGTATAATAATATCACATAAAATATAATATATAATATGTTTATCCCCACTTGGTTTGGTTCAGAAAACTTTGTCAATGCTTACTTTTTAGTCAAATGAGAAATGGTGTCCAAAAAAAAAAGATTTTATGATGAATAAGATATTGACATTTTATTTACACATACAAATCTTGCTTCAGACCTAAAATAGCTCTGAAGTATTGTTAAACATTATTTAATAAGTAGCATTTGGAGTGGTTCATACTGTATTTCAGCCACAGGGTACACAATATCACTCTTTCTTTGAGTAAAATCTTAGACAAACGTTCAGTATGAAATTGGATGAAAGTGGCGTTGATGTGCTGTAGAAGTCAGAAGGTGTTGAACCCTCAAAACCTCCATCACATGTTGCTTTCTGCCTCTCATGGGACCCGGGTCCCTCTGCAGAACCCCAGAGCAGAGTTTTAAAACCATGGTCCCCTTTTAGCCTCCATACTTCTAACCTAAGGAACAAAAGTAGAAAGCTTTATGCTCCAGAAACACCATCTTTTCTTCAAACAGCAAGATAATAATGTTCAGAGTAGAAAAAGTTATGTATAAATTATTAGACATTTTTATAATGTGGTAGAGTTAATGCTAGGATTTTTTTTAAGAGGCTTATTTTAACACAGTAGCTTTGCTGTGTATGCTGTTTAGCCATCCTCTCTCTTTTTCAGATCACATAACCATTACCCCAAAGGATCCTCAGTGGGTAGGTGCCTGGTGGCTTGGCTATCTGATAGCGGGAATCCTCAGTGTCCTTGCAGCTGTACCTTTCTGGTGTTTACCAAAGAGTCTTCCGAGACCCCGAAGTAGAGAGGATTCCAATTCCTCCTCTGAGAAATCCAAGTTTATTATGGATGATCACACAGATTACCAAACACCCCTTGGAGAAAAAGCAAAAATAACAGAAATGGCAAGAGGTGAGCCAGATTCTTTTTGATTTAGAAATACTTTCAGTTTTCCTGTTTGGAATTTATAGAGATCTTTAAATAATACCTTTTTCCCCTTCATGTGTTCAGAAAATTTTGAGAAACTATGCAGAAAGCAGAAATGAAGATTAAAAAAATCAGTTTTATTACTGGAAAAAAACTGAAGCATATGACCCAAAGTCTTGGAAACCTTCCTTGCTGGTTGACATTCCACCCTCACACCTCCTCAGTTTAAACCTTGCAGCTGCCCCTACCCAAGAATGCTGCTTCACATCAGTCAGTCTGGGTGGACAGAAAAGAAAAGAGTTAATCTTCAGCACTTGTGGCCTTTTACTAGACGAGATCTACCCATTTGCAAAATGTGTACCAGTGTATGACTCCCACCAATGATGAAAGGAGTGAATGTGGTGTGAGGCAAAAGACCAGATGTGTTCTAGTGAATACACCCCACGTGGAAATGTGTGGCCATGAGAAAAATTGGTTCCCCTCAGGTGGTCCAGCAATATTCCTCTTGGAGGGCCCCAGCAAACAATATTTATATTTATAGAAAATCATATTTCTAGCTGGCTGCATAAAAGGAAGAAAGCCAAAGCTCATTTCTTACACTCAAGTTCATACATTAAATGGAGATAACATTCATGTTCCTTTCCTTGTGACCATGACCCAATTTTGAAAAACAGAGACCAGAGAACTGAAGTCCTTAATGTCCTGCCTATAGCTACCAGCTCTGTAGTGAGGGAATTGTCTTATTCTTCTTACCTTTTACTTGCATCAGTTAGAGGAATCTGTTTCTGTCTGACTTATACCTGTAACTATAATCTCAATTGTATGCCTATAAAAGCGAGTGCTGTGTTTACATCTGAACCTGGCCAGATCTCATCCTTGACTTGTGCCAATGGCTTAATATTCATACTGTGTGTGTGTGTGTGTGTGTGTGTGTGTGTGTGTGTGTCCCACTGTACAAGGTCTGACAATTAAGTTTGTGAACTTGTTGCCACCATGTTGCTAACTGTTTTTTGATATCAGAGGGATTATTCATTATGAATTTCTACCAACTGGACAGTTAACCAAGTTTACTATTGGAAGTGCTGAAAAGGCTGCATGAAAAAGTTAGATGACCTAAACTTTTTGCCAGCCTTTCATGGCTCTTGCATCACGACAATGCACCAGCTTACATGGCACTGTCTGGGAGGGAGGTTTTAGCCAGTAAACAAACAACTGTATTAGAACACCCTCCCTACTCACCTGATCTGGCCCCCAATGACTTCTTTCTTTACCCAAAGATAAAGGAAATATTGAAAGGAAAACATTTTGATGACATTCAGGACATCAAGAGTAATACTATGACAGCTCTGCTGGCCATTCCAGGTAAAGAGTTCCAAAATTGCTTTGCAGGGTGGACTAGGTGCTGGCATGGGTGCATAACTTCCCAAGGGGAGTACTTCAAAGGTGATCATAGTGATATTCAGCAATGAGGTATGGAGCACTTTTTCTAGGATGAGTTCACAAATGTAATTGTCTGGCCTCGTAAATGTTCTTGTTAACTATGACACTGGGACTCAGCCATCTAAGACCTGCCACCAAGGCTGTATCTTCTGCCAAAGGTGACACTGTCTTTAATTACTCCATGTTATTTTTGTCTTATAGATTTTCTTCCATCACTGAAGAATCTTTTTGGAAATCCAGTGTACGTCTTATATTTGTGTGCAAGTACTGTTCAGTTCAATTCTTTATTTGGCATGGTGACGTATAAACCGAAGTACATTGAACAACAGTATGGGCAGTCAACCTCTAAGGCCAACTTTGTTATCGGTATGCTCATGCTTTCCATTAGGAACTATCAGCTGCATTTTGTTAACCCTTAGTACTTTCAGGGAAATGTATGCCAGTATTTAGACTGAAGGTAATTTGTAGCATCTTAGATATGAAGTCAAAAAGTGAGTGAAAATAATCTAGCAGAGTAAAATATTTACATAGCCTATGGTACAACTTTCTAGCAAGAACTGTTCACAACTATGGGTGAGTGACCATGAGAATATCACATAGGCCAAGCATATATTTCATTAGGAGGTTGTTAATACTGGATATTATTTTTTCATGTGTAGCCAAAATCTCATAACAGTGGACATTTTACCTGAAAAGTTTCTAGGAATTACAAAAAGGGAACATTTGGACAGGTTAAAGGTGTTCATTACAAAACAAAGTTTGTATTTGCTCAGTCAAAAGACTTTTCTGATTGGGTTATTAAAAGGGCCATGTTTCTAGCAGAGCAGTACAGTGAATAATGAGAAAGATATTAAAGGGCAAAGAAAAACATGAAGAAATGAATGAAGAACCAAAATCTACAAATACATAAACATTACCCTGAAAGTAATTAGATACTTTTAAAACCTGGATTAGCTACTTTAGTCCATGAATGTAATTTAATGCTACTCTTTCAAGGCATAAAATATATTCAATTTTTTAACATATCCCTTTATGATAGAAGACTCCTATGGTTTATAATAACTTATTCTTAAAATATTTAAAGAATTGTTCTATGTATCTATCTCTGGAAGAAACCTGGGGGTGAGGAGTGCTGAGCTTATTTTACAATATATAAATTTTCTATAACAATCTTGGATAATGGGCACTTAGCAGATGTTAATCGAATTGACTCGTTGTTTTGGCTATTCTCCCTTTAAATTATAAATATTAAGGCTATGCAGCTGAAATTTTACTTTCAACATTAATTTGTTCAAATTATTTAATTTTATTATTTAATGGCTGACCTGAAGAAATTTTTAGGGTTTGTTTTTTTTCCCCCAATACCCCATCCATGCCAATCAATGCTTTATACTGACTCTAAGAAGACTAGAAGACGAATGAAAGTTTGAGACATTCTTTTTATTTTACTTTAAAATTTCCTTTGTGTTTATTGAGATATAACTTACAAGCAACAGTTACATCTACAGACCTTAAATGTATAGCTCAACTAAATAAATGTTTACACATATATATTTGTGTAGTAACCTTCATGCAGAGATGTAGCACATTTCACTACCCCCAAAAGGATCCTTCATATCTCCTTCTACTCAAGACTCTTTTCCAAATCTAATACCTATTCTGAACTCTATCACCATAGATCAATCTTGCCTGTTTTTGAACTTTATATGAATGGAATAATATGTTAGGTATTCTTTTGTGCCTAGCTTATTTTAATTGAAATGGAATCTTATGGGACTCATTCAGATTGTGTGTAGCAGTGGTTTGTTTTTTTTTCATTGCTGTGTAATATTCTATTACATGAATATACCACAGTTTATTCATTTAATTATTGATGGACATTTGGATTGTTTTCTGCTTTTGGCTGTTATAAATAAGACTGTATGACCATTCTACATGTATTTTGGTGAATGTATACACTCATTTTTCTTGGCTACATCTTGGAGTAGAATAGCTGGGTCATAGGGCATATGTAGATCCAGCAAATATTCCCAAACATTTTACATAAAAATCGTGCAAACTCCTATTCCCATTAAAAGTGTAAGAATGTTCCAGTTGCACCACATCCTTATAACACATAGTATTGTCAACCTTTTCCATTGTAACTTATGCATTCTTATGGGGTATTGTAGCATCTCATTGTGGTTTAATTTGCATTTAACTGATTGATGATGCTGAGCACTTTTTGCAGGCTTTGGGTTATTTCAGCATTCTCTTTTGTTAATTATGTTCAAGTTACTTGCCTATTTTTACTGAGTTGTCAATCTTTGTCTTACTGATTTGTAAGAGCACTATACTTTTCACTTGATACAAGTTCTTTATTGAATATATGTATTATAATTATTTTCTCACAGGCTTCAATTTGCCTTTTCGCTCTTCTGCTGGTGAACTTCTTAATTTTAAGTTTCAATCTATCCTTTTTCAATAATGCCATTTTAAGCCTGTTTTAAGAACTCTTTTCCAAACCCCAAGGCCATGAAAATGTTTTCCTTATACTTCTACTAGTAGCTTGTTTTAACTTTTACATTTAGGTTATAATCAATTTCAAATATTTTTTGGTATAATGTGAAGGAAAAGGTCAAGGTTCATTTATCAAAATTAAAAGACCATTTTTCTGCATGAACTGTACTATAGGGGCACATCTCTAAGTAGATGTTCATTTTTCATTATTCAACATGTTCATAGCCCTTAGAGGTTTAGGGGCATTTCATTTTGCTCTCACTAGAATGATAAGTTATTTTTATCTTAAAATGAAAAGTTTATTTTATAAAGGAAAGTTAAGTATTATTTGGGGGAGGTTATTATAATAGAATATGAGACTATATGTAATCTCATTGCTTTATTGGGTAAATAGTAAATGAAATACCTTTGCCTCTAAAATTATTTTTAAGGAGAATTGACACAGATGAAAGAACCTGAAATTCTGAGTGATTCAATGGCCTGCCCAGTGTCATGCATGTGTATCATCCATACATTATGATATAGCCAGGAATAAATTATTTCCCTTGAGTTTCTGAATTTTTCCAGCCTGGGCACAATTATTGTTGGAAAACTGACAAGAAGAATCTAATCAATAATTCTCTTTTAAATAGTGGACGATTGATTTTTTTTAATACATGATCCTTCTCTGTACACTCAGATAGACTCTGAGATCCAAGCAAACTCATTATCAGAATTTTTGGTACATCAATCAAAGGTTGCCTAAAATTCTGATTCCTCATAGTTTCTGTCATGTCATGTCAATAGATAATTTAAGTACTTTTGTGAGAGATAAGTAATAGTGTCTAATGATTTTGCATCTTATAGCTAGCATCCTTTCCTAAGTGCATCTTGGTTTCACATTAGTAAGTGTGGGATGCATCAGAATAAGGTTAAGTGGATAAATTATTCAATATCCCTAACACTTATTTTGATTATCATTAGAGTGGTGAAAATAAATGCATCATTAGGCTGAAGTAAAGATTAAGTAAGACATAAAATGCTTTGTAAATATACATTGCTGTCATTCAATAAATGTTGTTTTCTCACTTCTTTTCTTTTCTTCTTCTATCCAACCTCTTTTTCTTTTCTTCTTCATTTTTTTTCCCTTGGGCTATGGAGAATGATCCTTTCTGTGATTAAAAAAAGAATGAGAGAGGCACAGAAACGCACTTTTTCCTTCTACTGTCAGAGAAGGCGTTGTACATGATGTGGAGGAAAGAATAAACAGAAATTTCCCTATATTTTCAAGCACCAACTGTTACAATGACAATTTGGTTTTTTGTGTACATATTTTTATATATTGGCCATATTCATTCTAAAGTTTAGAAATAACATTTTCTCATGTTAACTACTTAAATTTTACAAAGAAAATTGAAGGAAAATGAACAACAAAAATGTTTCAAATTCAGGGACTATAGAAAGTATATGGTAAAATGATTTTGCTTTTTTTAAGTGTGTGGTGTTTGTTTTAAATTCCCACTGCAATTTCTACAGTAAGAAGTTGGGAGAGGCAGTTGAATTTTCCACTTAAGCTTCTCCTATCTATCACTATTAGGTTATATACAAATGATCTTATCTTTTCTTCTCCTTAATACACAGATAGTAGTTATTTATTCATCTTTGCTTAATTTCTTGGAATTTTTTTAATTACATAAGTTTCTAGTGCACACTACATAAATATTAACTATTGGCAATAACAATGATTATCATTCTCAGTTCTTACAGGCATCACACAGACAAATAAAAAAAACTAAGATAATTATTTTGGGAAAGGTGCTTATAATAGAAAATATTAATTTTTGTGGCTAAGTTAGTTTAGTAAATTTAGTAATTGTGTTATGATGTGTTCTAGATCTAGTTGAAGTTATAATAAAAACTGTGAGATGATGGAAAATAATTTTAATTTGTGAGGAAAAATATACTTTTATTATGCCCAAGAAGGATGGCTAATTTTACTTCGTTACACGCAATTGGCTATATGAGTGTAAAAAGTCCCATAAACTGTTTTTGCATTTTTCTCTCTGTAAAATTCAGATTTTAATGTTTATTTCTTCCAACATTAGAGTAATATTGTGAGATCCATTATATCATATGGAATTTTACTTCACTGGGAGAGAAGCTCTAAAAACATCCCAAAGTGCTATTATTATAACTCATTACTATTTCATCTTAATGGCTTAAAGCTATCATACGTCTGTGTGGGATTCAAAGTTTCCAATTTATATTGTAATTGTGCTGACCATCTCAAAACATTTAACACATCTGTCATGACTCTTATTTAGGATAATAGCAAAAAACAGCGTCTTTAACCTGAATGGGTATGATGAAATAATAATTGTAAGTTAGCTAACATTTTTCTTAGCTTTCCTGATGTTTGGGTAAATACATTAAATTCAAAAGAAATGCATAAAATAAATTGAAACAAATTGCAGATGTTATTATAAATTACAACTCATATTCCCATTTGGAATATTTAGATGGTAAACATTTTAAGATCAGTGCATTTTATCGTATAAATGGAAAAACGTGTATAATGAAGAAATCAGAGAGAAATTTCTAATTCATTAAATGTCTTCAAAATACCTAAAATGAAAGAATTTTCATCGTAGGGAGCTTTGGGAGGCAAGAAGCACATCTCACCTGATATTCAGGAAATTTGCTATCAACCTGGCCCAGCATGGACAGCTTCTAGACTCTAGGGAATTTGAAAAGGAGAATCAAGCTAACAGTATATTTGAAATGTCCAACTAAGCTTTTTGTATTCTGTTATAATTTATTATCTTGAAATAAGAAGATAGAATTGGGTCATCGGAAAAGTCGTGACGCATTTTTGCAACGAAAAACATAGAAAAATACATCATGACTTTTCCGATGACCCAATATATTCAGGAGAAATGTTATAAATGAACCAACTAAAGTTTGTTCATTAATACATTTTTATGGAAAACTGTGCAGAGGACACAAGATTGTATGATAAGCACAGTTCTTGCCTTGAAGGTTAGCTTGGAGGGTAAGAGATGCAACCAGACAAGCTAGTAGGTAATTGTGATAAGTAGCAAGGCTGTGCCTATGGGACCCTGCACGGGGCTTCAGGCTGCAGGAAGAAAAGGGGTTTTGATGACTAACGTGCTCATCCTTATTCCAGATGTGTCTCTTGGAGGACCATATGGCTGGTAGAGGCAGGTTTTTGTTTTGTTTTGTTTTGTTTAGCTGAGCCATCCTGCCACCTGTTGGCAGCTCAGCGGCAGTGCAGCTCAGCTCAGGCTGGGACTCTTAACGGCTGTTGCTCAGAGCTCACACTCTTGAGCGAGCTCTTAAAGAACTGAGCCACTTGGCCGGCCCGAGGCAGTTGTAAGTATTCTAATTAGGGAGGGGAAGCTCAGTGTACTCGGGGAGAATAAACCTTATCTTGGAGTCAGAAGAAATTCTCTAGGAAAAGATATTGATACCTAAATTAAGAACAAAAGGATAAGGAGGTGTTAAAAGATGGGAAGTGGGCTGGAGGTTTGGAAGGACATTGTATCAGACAAAGCAAATATTTTGTGCAGAAGAGCCTGGAGGCAAAGAGAACACATAAAATTTTCTGGAAGTTTCAAGAGAACGCGGGACTCTAAAAGGATGTCAATCAGGAGAGGAGTTTCCAGATTTTTAACAGTCCATGCCAATGGAGTAATGTCCCTAATATCCCATTTTGATTCTCAGGCTCTTCTAGGCGATAGGACAAAGTCAATGGAATCTATAATAGCACAGCATGGCTTACAAAGCAAAGGGTATTCTTGGTGCTCTGACTCCCTATGCCCCAGGCTTGACTGGTACTTGGCAAAATAAAATGAAATTCTAAGCACATCCTCTGCAGGTTTTAGGTCAGAGCCTGGTTTTTAGAAGATATTTTTTCCATAAACCCCTTTTGGTGGATAAACTGAGAGAGAGAATAGGACTCTGTGCTCTTTTTGTGTCGGGCTTGGATCCCTGACAAGGGATCCGTGTGTGTGTAAAAACAGGGCTTTAAATGACACACATCAAATCCATGGCAGAGCACAGTTCTTGGAAAGGAAGATGGAATCTGAAACAGACAGAGAACCGGTTTTATGTATCTCCCTATTTAAACAATCAGAAAAATTGGGAGAAAATATTAGCATTTATTAACTTGGCTCATGAATAACCAGGTTTGTTATATTATTTTCTAATCTCCTCTCTTTTTTAAAAAAAATAACAATCTGGTGCCTCTTAGCTCATGTTTGGTTCTTCAGGGGTCCAATATACACTCATTTCTGCCACTTGCCATACCCATAAACCTCAGGTCAGCTGAGTTAACAAAAATTAGCATCTCTTCTTTTTTCAGTTTCACTAATTTCATGATCATGCCCCTTCAAGGTAAGTTGTGATCATTTTAATGTTAATGTGTAGTCAAATAAAAAAAAGAAAAAAAAAGGGTCCTTATCATCTATGAATGCATGATGAAAGTATTTTAAAAATAAAATAATGCAGTAGGTAGCCAAAGATATTGAATATTTTAGATTCTAGGAAATTTAGTTAAGAGACTGAATATATAAATCTAAAACGAAAGAAAACAAAGAAATAAAGAGAAAAAAGAAAGTTAGTTTGCATTTCACTATCCCTACATGTTCCTGTTTTTAATTTTTATTGAATGATGTCACATTGGGTTGTGAGTCAGGGACGGGAGACTTGTGAGTATTGTTCACCACAGCAGATGGTGAGCTCGTATTGAACCTTGTCTGTTGGCCAGAGTTTCTACAAGCTTCAGCCCTTTTATTATTTGGGGAAAAAATGTGTTATTTCAAAACTTCTATAGATAATGTGGACCTCAGTGGTTGATGGGTAGACGTTATAAAAATAAGTTCTGATTAGCAGAGTAATTGTTTATTGTTTAGTTTAATGCCAGATTGCTCTCCTCTAGAATTATTTACTGATTTAAAATCCAACCAGCCCAGCACCGAAGTGCCCCTTTCTATGTCTTTTCTTTTTTGTTGTTATTGTTGTCAGAAGGTTTCTTTTTTCTTTTTCTTTTTTTTTTTAGTGTTTATTGGGGTGACAATTGTTAGCAAAGTTACCTAGATTTCAGGTATACAGTTCTGTAATACATCATCTATATATCACATTGTGCGTTCACCACCCAGAGTCAGTTCTCCTCCCATCCTTTCTGACACAGAGATGTTGCACTCCACCACCACCTCCCCACACAATATTTTCATCTTTGTGAATCTGATAGATCAAAATGCTAATAACTTAACTGAATGATATTATTGTGCCAGACACTGTGATAGGAATTTTTCGTGTCATTTAATGACCTCAACAACACAATTATTAGCTCCATAATATAGGTGAAGAGACAGATTTAGAGAAGTTCAGAGAATCACCTACACTTACACAGCTATTAGGTTGTAAACTGAGGTCCAAACTTAGGCAGTTAGGTCTCTAGAGTCCAAACTCTACCACTTTCCTAGTGTTGTTGTTGTTGTTGTTGTTGTTTTTTAAGATTTTATTGGAGAATTGGGGGAGGGGAACAGACAAGTTTCTGTCCTTCAGTCTAGTTGTGGAGGACGTCGCTTCACTGGCCCATGTTGGTATTATCATTGCGCTCTTCCCGGGTGAGGCAGATCGGTTGCCATCCTCTGGATGGCCGCTCACAGTGGCTCTTGGCAGCTCACATTGGCTGCTGGCCGCTCATGCTGGCTTCCAGCCACACACGGTAGCTAATGGCAGCCCACTGCAGCTTCACTGCAGCCTCCGCCATTGCTGGCTACTCACAGCAGCCCAGCTCCAGGTCGAGCTGTTGTTCACCATTTTAGCTGTAGAGGGCAGTGTCACTGGCCCTCATGTGGGATCCGAACCGGGGCTCTGCTGCTCAGAGCCGGCATCCCAAGCCAGCTCTTAACCAACGCACCACTTGGTCATCCCCCTAGTGTTGTTTTTAAGTCACGTTTATTTGAGTACTAATGAGGGTGCATATCTCTTTATCAAGAATACTGTCTCTTAAATCCTTTGAATGAGAGGTAGTATAGCATAGTGATTGAAAGCATGAGACCTGACATCAGATTCCCTGTATTCAAACCTGATTTTACCACTTACTAACCATGACCGTGAACAAATGTCTCTCTGAAGTGAGAATAATAATATGCCCATCTCCTAAGGTTGTGGCAAAGAGTAAATTTGATAATATATCAAATGCTTAGCTGAGTGGCTGGTAAATCATAAGCAAATAACAAATATAGTAGTCAAATAATATGCTGTTTTGTTGTTGTTGGGAATAATACTAACTAAGAGGCTAAGAGTTGGGTCAATAAAAATAAATTTTGTTTGGGCCAGAAAAAAGAACCAAGAATTTGTTTTTAATTCCTTGCATCCCATGTACCTATTATGGTTTATTAATGAATATTAACAAGTCACCTAATTGCCACTTGATTGCACCTGGTAGTCCTGAGATTGTACCAGAAAGACATTTATTCAGTGATACATTCACTGTTTATTGATTTCAAGCCCTGTGCTAGACATTGTGTAGGCAGAACTCTGAGACTGTCAGTTGTGTTCTCATTAAACTATAGCGTAGACATTCATCAGAACATCTTGATATGTGTCAGTAGATGATAGTGAATGAACACTTCTATAACTGAAAATGACCAAGTAGTCTAATATGTCAGAAACTATTGCATAGTTTTATATAATCCCTTAGAAAGTTTGTGCGAGTGCAGTCAAATTTATTTCAGAGATTCTCAAAAATGATGTATTTTTCTTGTTCCTCAGGGCTCATCAACATACCTGCAGTAGCCCTTGGAATATTCTCTGGGGGGATAATGATGAAAAAGTTCAGAATCAGTGTATGTGGAGCTGCAAAAATCTACTTGGGATCATCTGTCCTTGGGTACCTACTATTCCTTTCCTTGTTCGCATTGGGCTGTGAAAATTCTGATGTGGCAGGACTAACGGTCTCCTACCAAGGGTATGTTCTCTCATTAAATAATCTGAAGAGATTGACTTGCTTAATCAGATTAATTTTTGATAGAGTTTCAAAATAAAATATTTTTATTTACAAGCTTCATAACTTGGGGAGTGACTTATTCTATTGTGGAATAGCTGACAGTACTTATGAGATGAAAGCCATTATGTCACCAAATCTGTCATCTCCTTTGAATTTGAATGTCTTAGAGAAATATAAGAAATGATAAACTTACACCCTCCTTTAGGGTAGTGGAAAATACAGACCTTGAACCTTGTCTCTGCTCATTCTTAGTGAAGAGACATTGCATGTATTATTTAATCTAATCCAGGCTCAATTTTTCCATTTAAAAATAGAACTAATAACTGCCTTTTAAAGTTTTGTAATATTTAAGTAAGATAATATATATGAAAGTGATTAGTACTTAGCTGACATAAGATAAATGTACCATTCATGGAAAACAATGTATTTTTTTTCCTCTGAACACCTGAATAACCAGAATGCCCTCTATGCCACCCTTCATAGTTCCTGTTGTACTCCAGTCATATGAAGTTTCAGGAGACAATGCCATTCCTCCACCCAATGACCCATGTGACAGCCCTCTTTGCCTTTTTGCAGTTGGTCAAAAGAATATTTATTGATGTTCTCAGACCAATGCCATCCCATAAGGGGTGGGTGATTAGGTTTCTTAGTTTCCAGAATCCATCACTCTGTTATTTTAAAGTTAAAGAGTAGATAACATACAATATTATATCAGTTTCAGGTGTACACCATAGTAATTTGACATTTTATACCTTACGACATGATCACCATGATAAGTCTAGTAACCATCTGTCACTCTACAAAGTTATTACAATGTTATTGACTACACGTATATTCCCTGTGCTGTACAATACATCCCCATGATTTACCTATTTTATAACTGGAAGTTTGTACCTCTTATCCCCCTTCACCTTTTTCATGCCGCCACCCCTCTTCCTTCTGGCAAACCATTGATCTGTTCTCTGTATCTATGAGTCTATTTCTGTCCTGTTTGTTCATTTGTTTTGTGTTTTTCAGATGCCACATATAAATTAAAACATACAGTATTTATCTTTCTCTGCCTGACTTATTTTCCTTAACACAATGCCTTCTAGGTCCATCCATGTTGTTGCAAATGGCAAGATTTCATTATTTTGTATTGCTGAGTGATGTTCCACTGTGTACACATATACCACCTCTTCTTTATCCATTCATCTGTTGATTGTTTCCATATCTTAGCTATAGTAACCAATGCTGCCATACACATAGGGGAGCACATACTCATATCTTTTCAAATGACTGTTTTCATTTTTCATCAGATAAATACCCGGAAGTGGAATCTGTCATTCTTAATACAAGACTGAATCTTGAAGAAGCTACTTTGCCCTTTCCCGTCAAGAGGCCCTGCCCTCACTCTGTCTCTGAACATGAGTTCCCAGGGCACCTTTCTTTATATGTGCACCTAACTCTACATTACTGGTTTAAAAACAAATTATCTGCTGCTGTAGGGCAGACTGACCTCCCTGGTTGCATCTGCCTGTGGCCCAAAGTCCATGCTCCTGACATTACACTCTGTTTCCTGCTGTTTCAGTTGTTTTCTGCTTCCTGCTTCCTGCTTGCTCTCCAGCCCCCTCGCTATCCTTCCGTCCAAGCTTATCTGTCCTGTCTCCATATTCCAATCTCCATTACCTTTATTGACTTGATTTCCCCTGCTGTTAAGTGAACATCAGTTATGCTTGTATTACCTAAAATGTCCAGGAAAATGAATGAAAGCACAGTTCATATACCATTACTTCTACAAGTTATCACATCACTGTTATACTTAATTAAGTGTAGCATTGCCTTAGTAACATCAACATAGATTATGAATGTTAGTTGTAAACAGGAATAGAAAGAAGGCTCTGGAGAGGGTAGAAGCCTTGTGCTATTTGTAACTGTCCCTTTAATCCTCATGGGAGATGGACAGTGGTAAAGTATTTTGTATTTTGCACCTTACAAAATACTGTAACCTTTATTATCTCAGTTGGATCCTCAGAGCACCTTTATGAGGTAAGTCTTGTTATCCCCATTTAATGGAAACTGAATTTAGAAAAGTCAGTTAGCATCCTCAAAGTATAATATTCTTTCTACAACATCCTGCTGTCTCAAAGCCAGAAGCAAGCACGTAAACAGACAAGAGCAAACTTTTGAGATTCACATTGAATATATACTCACATAGTTAAAGATTAAATATTTTTAAAACAATGAAAGATCATATATTTATTGAGTGAGTACTAGCCCTTGAAAGCACTCACCTTGAAAGACTATGACTGCATTGCAATAATGCTGTCATTGTTTAAAACACTCTTAAACTCCTCTTGAAATTGTATTCCATGTTTTGTAGAATATCCTTAACAATGGCAAAGAGTGAATTAGCCTTTAAGAGTAGCTTTGCTATTGGAAGCAGCCAAGAGAAATGGCAGCATCCCTGGAAAAACCTCTCTCCTCCCAGTTTGACTGTTTTGAAGGAAAAAGTTCATTTGTGTATAAACAGTCTGGCATATTTGATAAAACTCATAATTAAAATTTTAAATAACTACTCCACTGTCAACACATTCTTCATGAAATGTGTACACTTAATTTCTTCTTTGAGGTTGCCCTAGGTGATAAATTTAACTCACCTTCAGTAATCTGAAATGGTTGGCTCTATAAAATACAACATGCTCCCCAGGGATTATCCTGAATCTCTTCGTTCCACGTGACTGTTTTGATGCTGGACATTCAGCAGAAACGTTGTAGAGAAAGAAGCTTTAGGCATGGTAGTAGAAGAAACCTTTCTCCTGCAATAATAAGAATAAGCCTGAGGTGAGACACGAGTTCAGAATCCAGAGACCTGGAAGGGTTATAATTTGTCACTAATAAACATTGTGAATCTGAGCAAATTATCTGCCCACTTTTAGACCTGACTTTCCTGATCTGACAAAAGAGAAATTGTCCAGGATCACCCCCAAAATTCCGTTCAGCTCTAACCTTCTATGATCTTAGCCTACAGTATCCATAGTGCCCTGATTCTAGGCTTTCAAAGTCACATATTGACACTTTCAGATGCTACCAAACAGCCTCAGTTAACAATTAATGCCTTATGGAGGAGAACAGGATGAAATATTCCTATGTGAATTCTAAGAAGACCTAGTTAAATACCCTTTCACTCCATTTGAAGACTTCTCAGAGGTCTTTGGTTTTGACTTTAGAGGTAACTAAATCCATAGCAACTCTACTAGATGGAATATTACATCAATTAAGAAGTTATGATTCTAATTATTATAGGAAATGCCTCTCAAAGGGAGGGGCCAAAATGAGTGATTCTCCAAATTAGAATACCATTTTTTTGTTAGTTTGTTTGTTTGATTGACTTACCAGAAATCTTGTTTCTTAACCTATTGCATACCAGGAATTCTTCTTGGTGCTGGAGATATGAAAGTGAATAAAACAAATAGTTTCAGGCCTCACTGAGTGGACACAACAGTGTATGTTTTTTTGTTGTTGTAAGTCCCTCAATTACCATGTTAAAAAAAGGGTGTAGGAGAGGAAGAATATAAATAAGTTCAAAACTGAAGGACCGGTGGATGGCAAATAAGGAGCAGATAGAAAAGACGTATCATTATATATAAGTAAGCACCCCTTAGAGAAATAAAGGGACATGAATAGTGCAAGGAGAATAAGAATAGAAGGCTTAGGCAATTCAGGTGACAGGAAGAAATAGAAATGAGAGAAAAGGAATTCTGGGAGAGATGAAAGGGGAAGATAAGAGAAAATGAGACAGAATAAAAAAGAGGGAGTGAAAAGAGAAAACAATCAAATCTAGGTAAAGTTAATGGTTAAAAAAAAAAAGCCAGCTTTTTGAGGGCAAGTATTGGCTAGTTAATATTAGTAACCATTTTTCCTCCTCCCAAAGCAAGCACTTAGAAGTCTTCCAATACATTTTTGTGAATAAATAAATAAATAAATAGGTAAATCATTGAAAAACCATGTGCAATAGAGTTAGAAAGGATGATACAACATATGGACGAGTTCCCTACAGTGGGAGAATATGTAGGAGAGAGAAAAGTTGGATGAACTGGCAATGCATTAGGATACATATCGGGTTGTTGCATTTGTGCAATGAAAAACATAGAAAAAATACGTCATGACTTTTCCAACAGCCAAATAGCTTCTACAAGCATTGAAAGTCTGTTGAAATAATGTTGACTGCTTGGCTATTTTTTCTTTCACCACACCATTAGCAATGTCCATTCTACTGATGCTCATACAATTCTGAAGGAAATTTAAACACACACACACACACACACACACACACACACACACACACACACACACTGCAATACATTTAAGGTGATGACATAAATTGCTCTAAAAGATTCTTTTTCTACCTTGTTATCCATTTTCACACATCTTTGCCCAGAAATATATTGTAAGATCCTAGATGCAATAGACATTAATACAAGCCAAAAGCCAAGAACAGGATATTACGTGAAGTGATAAACCTCTAAAGATAACTTTTAAGAGAAATCTGTTTAATAGCGGACCACGTTTAATGATCAGAAGCTGGCATTTCTGATGACAGTTGTGCTTCCAAAAGGCAAAACTTTGTTGGCAGTGCCATTTATATCACTGAAGAACATTGATTTTTTTTTATATGAGGGTGCTGCGTGCTAAGAGGTAATATTTTATACTGTTACATCTCTTTTCAGAACCAAACCTGTCTCTTATCATGAACGAGCTCTCTTTTCAGATTGCAACTCAAGATGCAAATGTTCAGAGACAGCATGGGAACCCATGTGTGGTGAAAATGGAATTACATATGCATCGGCTTGCCTTGCTGGTTGTCAAAGCTCCACCAGGAGTGGAAAAACTATTGTAAGAAAATCTTCTCTGAAGTGTGTGCCCGTGGGCCTGCTACAGTCCGTAACTCCACAATTCTATGGGGGCACAGGGACCAACCCAGAAGCAGGCCACACGAGCAGGAGCCCTGACTCTTACTCTGCCCTGTCCATTTGTGCAGAGGCAGGAAACATAACCATCACTCATGGAGCTAAAGTTTGTGAAAGAGTTAGGTGAAGAATTAGAATCATGGAACAGGCTTGAGGAGCTTCGTAGATATGTAGTCTAGTGCTGCTATTTTTGCTTTTAAGGACTACTAGCCTTGAGTGAAAGAGTCATAGTCATAAAATCATATAAGATCTGCATTGGGATCCATGTCTCCCGACCCCAAAACCGGTGGCTCTTGAAGGTATTAGGGAAAGGACAAAGAAAGTCCAGTGTTAGGAATTTTAGCCCAAGAGGTCGAGACTGCAAGAGGTGTCAGGAATCCTATTGTGAGGAGGTTGGTGGTTCTCAGGCTCTGCCTGACAAATGAAGCCACTTTGTGTAATAAAGAGTAGGTGGCTGGAATAGAGTTTCTGTGGAGTGGGAAAGAGAGGTGAGGTTGGAAGTATAAGTAGAAAACCAATTGTAAAGGATATTATGTGCATCCATTATTAAAAGACCCATCCCTCTAACCACACATTAACATTCCTATCCCAAACATACACTCTTCCTCTTATTTGCTGAGTACACAGCAATGGTCAGAATGATTTGTACTTGTGGCTGATGAGATCTGCCTGTATTTGACAGTCCTAGAAGGGTGAAAATTTCACCACAATGTATTTGTACATGCTTATCAATACTATAAGAACGCTTAGGCAAACACTTCTGCAGACATAGGGTAATACTTGCTGATTTACTCTGTTTATTGTTATCTTCACATTTTATTCAGAATAGAAAGGATTGGTCCCTGGCAACAGTGAATAAAACTACCCATCCATCTGAAGACTGAGTTTTCACCCTCCCTCCCTTTCCATCCCTCTTTTTCCTCTTTTTCTTTTCTTTCTCTTTTTTCTTTTCTTTTCCCCAGCTACTACCCTTTTGCCCAAACTGCCTGAAGGTTTTCCTCAATTAGGGCTTCGTTCATTGAAGACATTGAATGCCAGAGACTAAGAGAGGTGCTTTAAAAACAAAGTTGTATTTAAATATTATGGTGCTTGAGTAAATGGGTACTATTTTGCTTATTTTTCTCATGTGAGATCTGAGGCACTGAAATACAAGGGACTTGCCTAAATTAAATTTACATATCAAGTGAGAGACAGAGTCAAGATTCAAAAGCTCCTTACCTGGAATTAAGAAAAATAAAATAAAACAACTACTATATTGCTACTCTTCCTTGAAAAAGAAATGACAGCTTTATTCCATTGTTTGTCTAAAAAAAATCACAACTCTTCTCTGATGAAAATGACAACTCATTTTATATATATATATATATATATATATATATATATATATATATATATGCATTCATACCTGAAATTTACAGAAATAAATTGATGAAGGATTATAAAAGTTGCCTCCCTGTCCAAAATTTAGTTAAGTTTCACTTATTAAGATTTTTTTTTCTAGTGACCACTATAAATTCTGCCCCATCCTCACATTGTGCCCATTTAGTTAACAAATTTTTACTGAGTGCCTAAAGAGCAAGCCTTATTTTAGGCCTTTGATGTACATACAACGAAGGCAAAACAGACAGTTTATGCCAGAGGTTACATTCTAGTGGGGATACATAGTTTAAAACTAAATGATTGTGTAATATTCTAATAGGTAGTAAGAAGCACTATGAGGAGTTAAGATGAAATGGTAGAGAGATGAGTGTATGGTCTTAAATGGGGGGCCATGGAAGCTCTCTTTAATGAAATATCTGAGCAGAGATCTGAAGTGTGTGTGCCAGCCAGGGAGCTGTCTAGAAGAGTGGCCCAGCAGAGAAAACAGCAAAGGCACAGTGGGAACCCATGTGTGTGGCTGAAGCAGAGGGAGAAGGGGAAGTCACTGAGCAGTCAGTTCTGAGCGGGACCCAGGAGCAACATCATGGCTAGTGTGTAAGCCACTTTAAGGATTTGGGGATTTATCCAAGTATAATAAGAATCCATGGGAAGGTTGAGAATAGTGATGTACTTTGCCATTTTTCAAGGCTCACTTTGGTTACTATGTGGAAAACATGATAGCTGGGTAACAGCGGAAATAAGTCGAACATGAAGAGACCATTGCAATAATCAAGGCAAGAAATAATGGTGGTTTAGACTTGAAAGTGGCAAAGGAGCTAAGGTACAATTGGATTTGGTAGGATTTGCTGAGAGATTGTGATGTAGGATCTGCAGTTTGTAGACCAACCACCTGCTGTTTGGATAATGAAATGTTATCTCACTATTTCGCTTTGATATATCCTAACAGAAAAATAAAAGAATATTTTTCCTATTATATATGAAATGCTTGTATACTAGACTGCAAACTCTTTTAAAATATTTTTTAATTTAAATTTTACTTCAGTAATTGGGCTTTTCCCTATTTTGTTACAGATGTTTTATAACTGCACCTGTGTGGGAACAGCAGCCTCGAAATTAGGAAATTCCTCAGGCATGGTGGGCAGATGTCAAAAAGATAATGGATGTCCTAAAATGTTCCTGTATTTCCTTGTAATATCAGTCATCACGTCCTATACTTTATCCCTAGGCGGCATACCTGGATACATATTGCTTCTGAGGTGAACACATACTCCCACCCCAATTTTAACATAAGATCTATAATCATCTTGAGCAATGATTTCAAATTCTGTTCTGCAGAATCATCATGCTTTCTTATAGCTCTCAGGAAACTTGTCCTATACCTTTGTTTCTCTTATACTTTTCCCACCTTTTTATACAAAAATGTGGTTGAATAGAAGTTTTCCTAGTTAAAAATGTTTGCAAACAGTTGGTCTAGAAGGAAATGTTAGTGCCCGCATCACTATATCCACTCAATAAGTACAGTATGCTGTTTCTAATGCTGATGATAATATTAATCAATACAGACTAAATGTGTTTTAGATTAAATGTGATTTCACTGAATTATGGATGATATAATTTATAAGACCCTTTAAAGGCCCATATAATGCCACAATGTTTTTTTATTTTTTACTTTGATATGTAGGTTATTACTTTTTCTATATATTCTTGCTCTGACTGGAATTATCTGTGTATGTGTGTGTGTATGGGGTGTTAATGGCTTTTGGACCAATTCAAAATCCTAATCCATGAATATGGTATTAATGACTAGAAACATTTTTGCCTGTGAAACCACCAAAGAAGGTTTAATACTGTGTACTCCTTTGCATATTTTAAGAGGACATCTAAAAATTTGTTATCATAAGTTTAAATAATAACTGAGTTTTGATAGCCAGTATATTATAAATATTTACATTTAGAAACATAATTATTTTATATATAGGTTGCTCTTTTAAACGTAATAAATTGGAACTAACGAACAATGACTAAATGATCAATATTACCTAATTTAAAACTATATGAAAAGATCTTTAATAGTCAAAAGTGTTACATAATTCTTTCTTCCCCTTGAATTTATATCTTCATTCAAATTCCCTATAGGTTTTTTTTCTATTGTAATATAATTTATGATTGAACATTTTTTATTAACTCCCCTGGCATGGATCTCCATAAAAAATTTATATAAATCCAAATTTTAAAATGTTAGTTTTGTAACAAGTATTCTCAGTGATAAAATGTTCTTCCTAATTGAATTAGCCTTGCAAATATTACTGTTATACAATTAATAAAAATAACCTAAAGTATTACAAATTTTGATAAAATTATTAAACATAAAAATAAAATTTTATTGGAAACTAATCTATGAGATGGATTAGGTGACTTAAATTAACATATCAAGAATGAATATTAAGTATTTCTAATATTAAACTAATCAAGTGTCATATACATCTTTAATTCCCTGCAGTTTATATTATGGAAACTGATTAGGAAAGATAAACAGAAAATAGGACCTAACATTCACAAATCTGTTTTTTCTGGAAAAGGGAACATGAGATATTTGTATTTTCAAATGAGAGCATCGGTTTGAAAAGATGGGAAAGCGTTATCCCAGAGTTCTCAGACCAGGGTTGTTCTTCATGGATGGCTATTTCTTCAACATCTTCTTATACTGTGCCAAGTAGTTACCTAAGCCAAATGAAAATCAGGCTATTAGAGGAAGAAATTTCCCCACCACCAACCCCTCAAGTGAACCATGCTGCATTTTGATGTTATAAGGAGATGTCCTTTGATTAAAAGAGAAAAATGGTGATTTTTGCCTCTTTTAAAGCAAAGACTAATGATATTATACATATGAAGAACTTAGTTCCATGGTTAATACTCAATGCTTATTATATGTCATCATTATTATTACTATTAAAATCCACAGGACAATCAGTTAAAGCTATACTCATACAGTCATATTAAGGATGCTCTTGTTATTTTATGTATTCTTGTACTTTGCTGGAAAATCAGATATCCCCCATTTAGCAAAAACACTTAGCGTGCCACAGTGATTGTGATCGTATCAACTCAGATCAATATGGTCCTGTGCTTTTAGACCAAAACCACAAACACTAATTATAGGTTATTAATCCTTTATTGTTGCCACAAATTCTTGCAATTTCTTTGAAATTTGGAGTGGTATTTTTTGTTGTTGTTTTTGTTTTGTTTTGTTTTTTCTGTGAGTCTGATATTAGACTGGTTAAACTTATGAATTTACTTTACCCAACATGTCATGTAGGGGTGATTTACCTTTTAGGAATATTAAATGTAAACTCCTTGTATTTAATTGCATTTAATTTAACATAATTGCTTTCCCCATGCCTATATATATATATATATATATATATATATATATATGTTTTTTGTTGGTTTTTTTCAGGTGCATTAAGCCACAACTTAAGTCTTTTGCCCTGGGTATCTACACCTTAGCAATAAGAGTTCTTGGTAAGTGTAATCTATGCTTTAAGTATGGTAGCCATCACAAGTATATTTTGAATACTTTCCTAAATATTTTTACAGAATTATCACATACAAATAAATGATGTAGGTGGTTGGGTCCCTATTATTTTTTTTCCTTCATTTCTTCTTTCCCTCCCTCCTTTCCTTGACTTCTCCAGATATATTTATTGAGAGCCAATGCCGTGCCAATGTTATAATAAAGTGATTTTATGAAAGATAGTTTTTGTTTAACAACCTTGTAATTTCCAGCATTGGCCTATTGTTGAAAAATCCATTATTGTTATGAGAAGGACCTCTGAGAGAAAGCAAAAAAAAAAAATGAAAAAAAAATGAATCAGTAAGAAAGGCTGAAGCCTAAATATAATTATTCAGTTATTAAAATGGAATGAATTCTTTTGAGCTACTCTCAGTGCTAGGATATATTATTTTGATAGCAAGATCAGATCATTCAAAGAATCAAAGCAGTATGGATTTGAGTTAATGATTTTTTTAATGTAATTGGAATGTTTTTTCTGACTACCAGATTTTTCAATATGCATTAATTAAAACCCATAGGAAGCAGAGTGAATGAGTCAGATAAGGTTTCTGTCTTTAAAAAGTTTATATTCTAAAGAAGAAAGTGAAACTATCATAAATGTTCCTCTGTAATTTAACAGAAAAGAACTACCAGAGAGAAAAAACAAACTCAAAGCTAAAAAACAGAAACCTGAAAATAAATTTGGTTTACATGGATCTTGATATAAATAGGTGTTTATGAAAATACAACATAATCCTGATAAAACTGCAGAAACAACAAAAGTGGAGGCGTATGCCATCATGGCTGGCTCTAATCCTGTGCTATAAAAAGAGAGTTTATCTAGAAAAAATATCAGATTATCGAGACTGATATATGTCCCTGGCTTGAACTGGTTTCTATATCCACCTCCCTTTGAGAATATAGATGTGACCTACAGTGTGAAAAAGACTTCAAGTAAATGAAGTGATTCATAAAATTGTTGCCATAAAAATAAAAATCTACTTGAAATGGCAATAATATTGTAAGGCAAATGATAATTATCATAAAGCCAATATTGAAAAAGGCAAATACAAACTGGGAATGTTTTCTTTGCAATTTTTATAACAGACAAGTGGCCAATGTCCTTATTCTAAAGAGAGATCCTAAGTGTTGAGAATGAAAAAAAAACAACAACCAAATAGAAAAATGATTAAAAGATATGAACATCCATTTCACGAAAAATAAATATAAATACTTCTTCATGTGTAAAAAGATGGTCAAACTCATAATATGAATAATACAAACTAAAATTACACTGAGATACCAATTCTTATCAGATTGGCAAATTACCAAATGTTTGCAGTATACAGGAAAATAGATACACTTATACATTACTGTTGAGGAAATAATACTATTTCTGAGGAGAGTTACTTAGCAAATACCAACAAAATTACATGTAGATTTATCTTCTTTTCTAGTAATCCTACCTCTAGAAATTGTTGTCAAAAATTTGCTAGCAAAAGTATGAAATAAGTCTAATTTTATGGATATCAAATCATTGTGGCATTATTTATAACACCGAAAGACTGCAAGCAGTTTAAATGTTCATCAGTGTGAGTCTGGCTGAATAAACTATAGTAATCTCACATAATGAAATACTAAGCAACTGTAAGGATGAGTGGGGGAAAATCTCTCTAATGTTACCAAGTTTATTCATCAGCTCTGGCTGCCATAACAGAATACCATGTTCTGGGAGGCTTACAAGAAGTTATTTTTTCATAGTTCTGAAGGCTGGGAAGACCAACGTCAATGTGCTGACAAGGTTGGGGTCTGGTGAGGCCTCCCATCCTGACTTGTAGAAGGCCATATTCTCACTGTGCCCCAAACAGCCTTTCCTCTGTAAACATGTGTAGAGTGTGAGAGATCTCTGCTAGTTCTTCCTCTTCTTCTAAGGACACCAGTACTATGAGATTAGGGGTCACCCTTATGACCTCATTTAAGGTAAAGTAAGTGAGATATTATGTATATCATTAGGAATCAATATGTTCAGCATAATAGAAAAGTGATAAAAGCATAAAATTAAATTGTTTAAATAAAACCCATTCTTAATGTAAATGTAAAATGTCAATATGAACTCATAGTTTTATTTTTAAATAATGTGTATTTTATAGCTCTGTTTCCTGAAAAATCCAGAATCTATGTAACCCTGGAGAAATGAATACCCGTAGCACTCAGTCTGCAATCTCTAATTATCATTTCTTACTAAAGGAACCATACCACCTTGGAGAAATTACTAATTCAAGGTCTAGGGTAGAAAATGCGTAAGATGATTATGGGACAACTTTTTGTACTGGAAAGTGAGAAAGCTGTCAGAGGCTAATAGGGGCATGTCAAAAGGACACAGGACCAATTTGAGGAATTTGGCCTAAGGTTGAGGAAATTTGAAAAATTAATAATAGTAATAAATAATAATAGCTGCACTATATTAAAATACATGGGCTATATAAAAAGACATGAATTCACAGTGATACTTAAATAATTTGAGAGAATGCTAGAACACTATTCTTAAAATTGATGAGGGGAAAGAATTGATCATCTATCCTGCCTTTCTTCCATTAGCTGTATTTCAAAGTAACCAAATAGTCATGGAGGAAAATTCTCTTTTATGGAAAAATCCTAATAATTTGCACACAAGGAGTAATATAACTTTTTAAAACCCCTATTTGCAACTTCATCAAAATTTGCTAAAAGCTGTAGGTGAAAGTTGATGACAACTTCATTAATGGGGAGCATAGCCTGAGCTTTGGATCCATTTTAACATTGCTAAGAGTGGCAAGCAGACAGCATATGGCCCCTGTCAGGACATACAGAACCACCTATCTTCTTCCTGCCTGAAGTAAATTGAACCTGAGTGCATCCAAGAGCTAACTACCAGTGTATTGCAAAAATGGAAAATAGGAGAACAAATTAAAAACAGTGTTGTGAAGAAGCAATCTGTCAAATCCAGGCTGTGGCACTTTCTATGGGACAAATATCTTTATTCAAATCTCATTTATAAAAAAATGTTGGGGGAGGGAGCTGATATAAAGAGTCATTAACTAAATGTAATGTGTTTAACTGGCGTGAATCCTGAGGAGAACAAACCAATGGCTAAAACAGTGCCTTGAAGATATTCAGAAAAGTTTGAGTGTAGATTTTGTTCTCAGTTTTATTGAGACATAACTGATATACATCACTGTACAAAATTTAAAGTGTACATCATGATGGTTTAATTTAAATATGTTGTGAAATGATTACTGTGATAGGTTCAGCTAACATTCAGCCATAGATACAATGAAAAGAAACAAGAAAAAAGGTAAAAAATTTTCTCCTAGTTAAGAAACTTAGGATTTACTCTTTTAACATTTTTCCTATATATCATACATCAGTGTTAGCTATAGTCATCATGTCGTACATTGCATCCCTAGTAATTATTTATCTTATAACTGGACGTTTGTACCTTTGACCACCTTCCTCCAATTCCCCACACGCCCATCCTGGCCTTTGCTTCTGGTAATCATAACTCTGATCTCTTTTTCTATGAGTTTGGGGTTGGTTTTGTTTTGTTTTGTTTTGTTTAGATTCCACATATAAGTGAGATCATACAGTATTTGTCTGATCTGACATATATGTCTTAGCATGAATATGGATTTTTATTAAAGAGTTATAAAATGTGTTGAATGGCATAGTGGTATGCTTAAACATGCCATCAGAGGTGAACACTGAAATGCATATAAAGTAAATGACATAATGTCAGATTTCTCTTAAAATTTTCCCCTGAAAAAGTTTCAGAGGTTGGGAGAGGTGAGGGTATGGCGATAGATGACACAGGAATGACAAAATATTAATAATTGTTGAAGGTAGTGATGACATTTATGGGTTCATTATATCATCCTCTATAATTTTGTGAATATTTGAACATTTGCCATTATGAAAATTTTAAAACATATCCAGAAAATGGCACGCATTTGGAATTTTTTGGCTTTTCTTCACATTATTAAGGGCAATGTAAAGTTAGATATCATCTAAATGTTTTTAGTAAATAACCTATTAAAATTGGATAATATACATAGAGAGAAATTTTATTTGACACCAAATTATCCAAATTGACGTTAGATATATTTATTTTATTGCTCTTCTTGCTCATGGAATTTTATGTAAAATAGAATCAGCTAGTTCTTTCCGGAATCTAGAATCCTTCTCTTCCTGATACAGAGAGAGGGAGACACCCCTATAAATGGAGATTTCCTTATAAATGTAAATCTCCCTTACAAAAAGGAGATTTATGCCCTGTCTTCAGAGTGTCTCCTGTGTCTTCTGTTTCTCAAAATAACCTTTTCATTAGAAGAATATTTTGGGATGGCATATTCTAGTCTCCTCCAGATGCCCTGTTATCTCCAAAGCAGTAATTTTTGGACTTGAAAGCAAGTGGTTCCAGATAATCATTCTTTATAGGATAGCCAAAAAGTTGTGCATCTAAGTTTAGTAAAAATTGTTTTTCTCACAGCAGGCATCCCAGCTCCTGTGTATTTTGGAGTTTTGATTGACACTTCATGCCTCAAGTGGGGATTTAAAAGATGTGGAAATAGAGGATCCTGCAGATTATATGATTCAAATGCTTTCAGGTACCGTATCAAACCTGTTCCTGCATTTCAGCCCAGATTTGCTCAATGTAATTGGTACTAATAATCCCTCATGCAATGTCACTGCTTGTAAGGAAAAAGATAATCTAATCAAGAAGTGTGTTCTGTTTTATAGAATAATTCTATTATCATTTGATTATTTTGCTGTATCTTACCTTTTCCCTCCATCCTAATCTTGACTTGTATTTTAGGTAATCGTGTTTTTTAAAACAATATGACATAAGATTCCAGAATAGAGTATTTTGAAAGTTTGCACATACAAATGAGTAATTCCCTGAAACTCAGAAGCATTTAAATTTAGGTCACATTTTGGGTTTATTTCTATTCTTTTTCAAACTGAGCCAAACTGTCCCATTTACGTCAGAAATAATCCCCTTGGGCAAGAGTTGGATTTGGCTCTAAATTTATCCGGCTTTTATTGCCAAAATGATGTTCAATTATTCCAGTACTTGAAATGCATAAAAGTAAAAGGTTTCCTCTGTGAGTGTGAGTATGTATGGGGCTGAGGGACATGGCTTTTTCACTATGGTATCATTCAGTTCAATTCATCAAACATTTAGTTCCCTTATTGCTTAAAGCAATGCTTCAATGGCTTAAAAGCAAGAAGGATTTTTTCAATTTACAATCTGAGCATTTTCTAGAGAAAAGCACTTGGTGCTGAGCCATGTAAGCTGGAAGTTGGGTGTGAATTGAGTCAATCACGTTAAATAAGTTTGTTCGGTTTAATAGGCTTTGATGTTATGTGAGAAATTTATTTTGGTCCTTGAAAAGAGCCTGACCTGTGAGTAGAATTATACTTTACTCACATTTTGTTAAGGCTGTATTTACTTTAATGTAAAGACAATGTAACTCAATCAGAGATTGTGAGTGCATATGCAAGGTGACTGGACTGAATCATTCAACCTGTCCCCCACACCTTCGTGTCTTATAATAGAATGTAGACCTACAGGATTCTCATGGAAGAAACTGATTTAAACCTCTGGTTTATTCTTAAGTCATTCTACTCTACGGAGAGCTCTGATTTCCCTTTCACATTGCTCCTTGCCGTTTTTCTGTAGAAGTGGATTTGTGCAAGATTCAGGGTAGCCACATGATTTATCTTTCTAACCTGGACACTTGAGAGTTAAAGGGGACACTATTAAAAATTACACTGGGACAAAACTTGCATAAACTGGGACTTCTCTGGACAGAGATATGGTCACCTGGTCTAAGGGACAAATTTACAGAGAGGCTAGAACTGATTATGCAATTAGTAGGAGCTGAAAATAATGGTACCATAAAAAAACTACTCTCTGTGAGCATACTACCTTCAAGCGTCTGTCCAATGTTCATAGAAAGGCCTTTTAGAGCCACTGAATCTGCATTCTTAAAACCATTCTCGAGGTGGTTTTATTGATATTGATAGATTTCATTGATATTGATATTTATTGCATGATATTATGACCTTCCGTCCACATTTTATTTAAAGTTGGATGATTACAGTAATTAAGACTGATATTCTCTCTTCCTCTAGACACATCTATCTGGGACTAACTCTGATGCTGGGCGTAATGTCCATTTTCCTAAGTATTGCAGTACTTTTCACTTTAAAGAAAAATTATGTTTCAAAACATAGAAGCTTCAGAACCAAGAGAGAAAGAACAATGGTGTCTACAAGAATCAGGAAGGAAAATTGTACTACAAGTGATCGTTTGCTACAACCCAACTGCTGGCCAGGCAAGGAAACACAGCTTTAGAAAAATGAGAACTTGAAGCCATCTTTTCTAATTTCTGGAAATTCTGCAAACAGATTTCAATCAAAAGGGTTTTACATGTGTAAATATTTTACCCTTTCAGAAAAATTCTACTTTGTTTTTCATCCTTGATAGTAGATAATGCACAAGATAAATATAATCATATTATAGAAGATATAGATGATAAAGTTAAACTTTTTAATTTTTAGACAAATCCCTTATTTACTCATTCTGCTTAATTTTGCCTTGTGTCCATTTGTGTCCATTGATATTTTAGCTGTATTCCTAGTAGAACAATTGTCTCCATAGTCTAATGGCTATGTGTAAAGTAATTTTTAAACTGAGTACTTGTCTAGGATAAGAGAACCCTTTCAAAAAGATTAAACCACACCTTGAACTTCTTCAAATATCACCTTGATGACGTTAGGAGTCAGGTCATGTAGAGGAAGGTGTCATTTTAAGCTCCTCCTTTCTTTTGAAATGCAATAATTGGTATAGAAATGTGTAGTGGCAATTGATGTTGGGGGATTTGAAGTTTGAATTATTAGCTCTTATACTATTCACTACATGTGCTTTATGTGTGACATTTTTAAGTGATCGTAGTTACAAAGTAATAAAATTAGTATTAACATGCTTTATTGTCCTTCTATGAATTCAATGTATTAAAAAATGTTATATACAATACAGCCCATTAATATATGAAGCAGCTTCAGACTTATGTACAAGATATCATCCTAACACATATTTGCAAGTTGAATTTCTGCAAGTTCACAATAAACTTAAGTGTTATAATAGGAATGCAGGGTGATGGGTTGAATGATGGTGTGGTTCCTTTTGGTGCTCACCCTGGCCACCTCTGCTTCTGGGCAGAGGGCTGCTTGCTAGTACAGCCTGTCAGATACGTCTCTGTTTCTCTGCAACTGAGAAAGTCAAGCCAGGCATTTCCTCCTTGCTGGCTTCCTGGTGCTCCTTTGACTAGATACAATAGGTTCAGCAGTTCACCATCTTTTTTTTTTCCCTCGACTCTAATTTTCTTTATTTTATAAAAGATAATTTTATCAAGAGTGCCTCCTGTCAATATTGTATCTCTGGGTTTGTGGGGGTTTTTATTTTTATTAAATTTATTGGGGTAATGTTGGTTAGTAAAATTATATAGGTTTCAAGTGCACAATTCTATACTACATTATCTATATATCACATTGTGTGTTCACCACCAAGAGGCAGCTCTCCTTCCATCACCATATACTTGATCCCCTTTACCCTCTTCTACTGTCTCCCCTCCCCCCTTACCCTCTGGTAACCACTGAACTATTGTCTGTGTCTATGAGTTTTTGTTTATTTGTTTGTTTGTCTTGTTCTTTTGTTGCTTTTAGTTTTATATCCCACATATCAGTGATATCATATGGTTCACAACTTTCTCTGTCTGACTTATTTCGCTTAGCCTAATAATCTCAAGCAGTTCACCATTTTTAATCTTCAGCTCTACTAGGTGCTATGTGTTTTTTTCTCCACCACAGCTGCACAAGAGTGGCCTGGCCCTTCCAAGAAAAGCAGACTGAAGGTGGGGTTCACCCCAGTGGAGTCTTGGAATTGTACCACAATTCTAAGCAGCTTTTAGAACAAACAGAACAACAAACAGGGTACTTCAAACAAGGACTGTTTCTGAGGTGTGTCTTGGAGACTAAGTCTAACAAAAAGGTCCAGCTCAAAAATACAGTAGCCTTACCCACACAGTGGAAGAATCAAATAGTGCAAACAAAATGGTTTGCAATCTTTAATTTTTCCTTTATGTGAATATGAATGGAAAAAAACTGGAGATGGAAAGGTTGGGGGTGGAAAACAGAGAAATTCTTCTTTAAATATATATTCATTTTGTCATTTTATTTTAATTAGTGATGCAAGGTTATTTTGTATTTTACTAATTTTTAAAATGAAAACAGCCTTCTGTTTTCTTCCCAGCAGGTCTACTTTAGACCTACTGCTAATATACTAACTTGGGAGCAGGAATACTTTTTGTCATCTCAATATCAATCTTACCCATAACAAATATTTACTGAATGAGTGAGTGAGTACACTTGTCAAGAGTTTTCTTTGTAGAGGTGTAATTAAAATTCAAGTTCCTCATCCTGTCTCCCACATCCTTTTTATTTTTCAAAGCTTTTTGTAGCAATTCCCTGAAAAATAACTACTTTGCAAGTAAATTTCTAAACAGAATCCCATCCAATTTACTCCTGAATAACTTGAAAAATAAAACTTGGCATAAAGGATGATGAAACGATTTTTTTTCATAAAGGCACTGAGTGTCAACGAGAAGAAAGTATATTTTTTTGCATAACCATTAATTCGACAGTGGAATTATATATGCTAAACTCAGTTGTATGGCATAAGAGAGTATTAATTAGTGGGGAATTGAATTTACGAAAAGGAACCTTGATATTTTAGATGAGTAAATTCATCTGACAGAAGCAAGCAGGTTTTTATGCCTCAGAAAGGACATGATTATATTTTTTTTTAACAAACCAAACCCCATTTCAGTGGTCAAAAAAATTCCCTCAGCTCCAGGGCCAAACATTAGAGGTTATGCCTTGACTGACATGTGGGATCCCACAATGGCTCCATGGTCAATGGGCCACTTATTTTCTTACTCTACAGCTGTAGCTCCAAGAGTTGACTAGCACCTCAGATGAACATCTGATTCATTATAACCTTCAGACAGGTAATGCTCCAGCAATATCATTATATAAATGGGGTGACTTAAATTGGGTAAAATGATTTGCCCAAGGTGGAGGCCGTCAAACTAATGCTGGGTTCTTCCATTACATCATGAAGCCTCTAAAGCAGGTAATAAAAACAAACAATCGGAAACCTCTAAAAACAGTTGGAAGAACTTTTGTGACCATTAGCATTTAAGAAATTGCTACTTAAATATTACACATTTATACACTTATACATAAAGGGAGATTGAAAGAATAAGTTGGCATATAACATATACTTGGGAATAATAAATTATATAATTATTATAACAACTATGAAATATAACAATATTAAGCACTCTCCTTATGTGTGCTGAATGTTTTAGACACAGTATCTCAGTTTTAAAGATCAAAATAACCGTATGTGCTAGGTATAATTACTGATATTTTCAGACAGAACCTAAGGCTTAGAGAGTTTTAGTGACTTGTCCAAAGTCAACAAGTTCTTGTAGTTGGTAGAGCCAAGATTCAAACTGAGGTTTATCAGATTCAGACAGCCACCTTATGCCTGTATTAATCTATATCAAAAATCGCTGTCTTACACTAACTTAGCTAAAAGTCAGTTTTATACATCTACATTAGAAAAGTTTTAGCATACTGAAACTTGCCCATGGTTTTTAAAAAATCAAATGGTACAAAATGATTTAAAATGAGAAGTGACAATCCTCTAACCCACCTTCACTGCTATTCCTCAAAGGCAATTACTTCTAAACAGTTTAGTTTGTTAATTTTTCCGATGGTCACTTCCATATCTTTAAATAATATGCACATATTTTCTTGATTTATTAACTCTGGGGGCTGTCTGTTGACTCTCTGCTCTGATAGATTAGGACCAATGTCACTTACTCACCCCCTGTTTTTCTTCCCCTGTAATCTGTACATAGCAAGGTCACCATTCTGAATCCCTCAAATGTCACATCAGTACCTTCATTTATTTTTCAATAAACATGAACAGTATCATATATTCCCAACTTTGTAAATAAAGATCTTAGAGCTCCCTTCCTTTCCTCCATGTGTCCAAACATTAAATCATTGCCCTCTTTCTGCAAGCTCTACCTGATAACACTTTGTCAGCTTTGTAACCATTAGGCCTAGGAAAGGATTAAGATGGATTCCATCTACTGTTGAAGCCATGAAATCTCACTGTTAGAAAAACCAATGAAAAAGAGAGGGAAAAACATGTTAAAGAGGACCTACTATGAATCAGATATTAGAGGCACATTAACATAATTAAACATTCATAAGTGTAATGTAAAAAGTGTTTTATGTTTGAATAATTTTGGAATATACTGAGTTAACAACTCTCATATGACTGCAGAATCTCTCAGATCCTTTAATATGATGATGTATATTTCCTGACTCCTATAGGGGATGTATATCTCAAAGTTATTTGGTATTAAATCCAATTTTTTATTAACAAGTCTTGGATCTAACTAATTTTCAATACGATATATTTGGAAAACACAGTTTTATCCTTTTTTATTTTCTGGCTGTTGTTGTCAGCTTTTGGTATCAGAATTATGCAGTTTTATAAAATTCAGGAGAAAACTATTTAGTTTTTAATGTTTTGGAAAAGATTATACAGTATAGGAATTATCTGTTTCTTTTACATTTGAAAGAATGTCTTTAGCCTTTTTTAGAAACACCTTTAAAAGTTTTTGATTACTTTTTGTGTTTTAAACACCTGCTTACTGATTCAACTTTCAAAATTTGTATTTTTTTCTAGAAAAATCTTACAGATTTTTAAAAGATATTTCTAACTTTATAAACTTAGAGCAATTCAGCTTAAGTTTATATTATTCTCTTTTGCCATTCCTAATATTGTGTGCTTGGATTTATCTTTTTTGTGCATTGTGCTTATCAGGGACTTATTTCATTGTAATTTTCAAAGAAATGGCTTTTGGATTCTGTTGCTGTGCTACCTGATTGATTAATTTTTGTGTTTTACTTTAATTACTTTTCTCCTTCTGCTTCCTTTAAGCATGCTTAAAAAAAACTTTACCTAAATTCTTGATTTGTAGGCTTATGACTGTATGCTCTAGCTTCATAATGAAAACATTAATATGCATTATGTACAGTTCTAGTTATAATTCAAAAGGTTTGCCATGCTACAGTACCAATGATATTTTCCTAATTGTTTACAAATGCATTCTTGATTTTCTATTTGATTCAAAATTCTTACTGCTCTAAAAGTAGAATGATTTAAACTTTCCCTGTTGGGATATTTCCATTTAACCTTCTTTAAATTTTTTGATTGATCACATTTATAAGCCTATTCAGTTTATCCTTTTGGAAATTTATTAAAGTATGTTAATTGAATATAAGGAACACCAGTAGGTATATACTTACCAAATAAAACTAACTAATTATACTATTTACATCTTTTGATAGTTTTTTTTCCCCTATTTTCTCTTTCAAGACAAGAGCAATAGGATGCTAGAATTTCCCAATTATGATTGAATGAGTTTTTGTGAATTGCTTTTATTTAAAATAAGTTTTAATTTGTAGAATTTAATGTGCTGTTTCATAATTATTATATCCTTATAATGTATATAATTAATTTTTAAAACTTGTCATAGTCAATAATTTTCTTTTGAATTTTATTTTAATATTAATATTGATATATTTTTTTTATTGATTGTGTTTATTTGCTATGCTTTGGCCCTCCCTTTATTTTTAAACTTTTTTGTGTTCTGTTTAAGGTTGGATATTTATTAACAGTTCAAAATTGGATTATATTTTTACTATCTATAATTATGTCTATTAATAAGATATTTAATTGTCATACCTGATGTTTGGATTTACTTTTGTTATATTGTTTATTATATTCTTTTTTGTTTCCTTATGTTTTTCTTTTATTCTTCCATATGCAATATGTAC